GGAGGAGGAGGAGGAAGGCCCCGTGGAGCTGCCCCAGCACGAAGAGCACGCCCTTGGCCGGAGGAGCCCTGGCGCGAGCCGCGCAGGGGCAGCCCTCCAGGGCCAGGGCCAGGGCGGTGCTCGGCCCTCGCTCTCTGGCCGCAGGGCCCCGTGGAGGTGCCCCAGCGCACGACGAGCATGCCAAGGGCGGAAGAGCCTGATGTTAAGCCGGGCGTGTTCCCCTACAGAGGGATAATCGACGAACAATAAAAAGTACTCAGACAAACAACTCCAAATTAGTAAAAAAATAGTATGGGGACTATGTGTTGAGTATTGTTTGACCATTTGGAAGTATTTTCGGGGTATTTTTCATTTGTCGTCGAAAATCCCCTGTAGGGAGACACGCCCGACTTAAGCCTGATCACGAAGAACACTCGGCGGCGAGCGAGGGGGGGGGAAGTGAGAAGGAGAAGGCCTCCTTCTCCTCCTCCTCCTCCGCCTCCTTCTCCTCCTCCTCCTCCTCCTCCTCCTCCTCCTCCTCCTCCTCCCCCTCTTCCTCCTCCTCCTCCCCCTCCTCCTCCTCCTCCTCTTCCTCCTCCTCCTCCTCTTTCTCCTCGGTTCCTCGGTTCCTCACGGCGTGCAAGTCTTCAGACGTTGCCGCTTCCCCCAGAGTGGCCCGGTCAGGCCCCCCTGGGGGAGTAGAAGGTACAACAAAAATTAGGGACTCCCTGCTCTCCCTCCTCTCCCTCCTCTCCCTCCTCTCCCGTGGCGACGACCTCCTCCCCCGCCTCTCCCTCCTCTCCCTCCTCATCCCTCCCCTCTCACCTCATCTTCCTCCTCTCTCCGCCTCCTCCCCCCTCCTGCCTCCGTCTCCTGCCCCTTCTCCTCAGCTCCTGCTCCTCCTTCCCCCCTCCTGTTTATCTCTTGCTATTTCCATCCTCCTCCCCCCTCCTCCTGCCTCCTCATCCCCTCCTCCCACCTCCTCCTCCTCCTTCCTCGCCCCTCCCTCCTCCTCCTCCTCCTCCTCCTCCTCCTCCTCCTCCTCCTCCTCCTCTCCCACCTCTCTCTGCTCCTCCTCCTCGTCCTTCTCCTCCTGCTCCACCTGGCGCGTTCCACTACACTCAAATTGCCTCCTCGCAGACGTCCGAACCAAAACAGATGTCTGCATCGGTGTAGTGTATCGCAACTTCCCCATGGCGGATCCATGCCATTTGCGAGCAGTCACTTTGCGAGTCGTGGAACGCGCGCGTCTTCTCCTTCTCCTCCTCCTCCTCCTCCTCCTCCTCCGCTCCTCTCCTCCTCATCCTCTTCTTCCTCTCCTCCTTCTCCTACCTCCTTCTCGCGAGACTGCCGCCCCCCCTCTCAGTCACTGGTGCCGCGCGGCGCGACGGACCCCTCTCGCCCCGCCGAGGCCGTCGAGGTGGGGAGGGGGCGCAGGAGATTTGCCCGGAGGGGGGGGGGTCGGGCGGGTGACGGCGGGCGCGCGGAAGGCGGAGCCGGGAGCCGGGGGGGGCGAGCCGGGGGAGAACCGCAGGGGGGATCCGCAGGCCTCCGCACCCAGACTCCCCCCCGCACGCCTCCGCCCTGGCCTCCTCCCGCCACCCCCCATGTCCTTGTGCATGTGTGTGCTCCCTCCTTCCTTCTCCGCCCTCCTCCTCCGCCCTCCTCCTTTCCGCCTCCTCCCTGGCGCTCCTCCTCCTCCTCTCCTCCCTCCTTCCTCCTTCTAGTCCTCATCCTCCTTCTCACTCCTGCCTCCTCTCCTCCTCTCCTCTCCTCCTCCTCTGTCGCCTCCCTACTCTCCTCCTCTTCTTTCATCCTGTCTTCCTCTCCTCCCCTCCTCCTCCGCCTCCTCCTCCTCTTCATCCTCCTTTCCTCTCCCGTCTCCGCACCCCCCTGCTCGACCTTCGTCACTGGGCGCCGCCCGCGCGACGGCCCCCGTCTCCGCCCGCCGAGGCGTCGAGGTGGGGAGGGTCCCGGACGCCTTCTTGTCTTGGCGCTCGGCTCCTTGATCCTTCTCCTAGGTCTACAGCCTCCTCCCCATTTCCTTGTTTTGTTGTTTCTTCTTTTTTTTTTCTTTGTTCTTTTTTTTCTTTTTTTTTTCTTTTCCTTCATTTTTTCTTCTTCTTTTCTTTTTTTCTCTTCTTCTCTCTCTCTATCCTCCTCCCTCCTCCTCCTCCTCCTCCTCCTCCTCCTCCTCCTCCTCCTCCTCCTCCTCCTCCTCCCTCCTCCTCCGTGGCCGTTTTGGCTCAGAGCCATCCAAGCGCGAGCGCGCAGGCCAGTCCGGCGCAAGTGGCATGGCGGCGGTCCCGCCCCTTCCCGGGGATGCAATGTTGGTGTGCGCCGCGGTCTTGGGAGTGGCCCATGGTGGAGGAGGGCGTCGTGCTGTCGCTGCTGCCACTGCGGCGGCCGTCCGCGCCCTGAAGGGCCCGAAGGTGCGCGCGGTGGGCGAGACGGAGCCGCTGGCGGAGCGAGGAGGGCCCGCTGCTCGGGACTGGCGCCTGCCGTGCTCCGCAAGGTCCAGGGCGAGGCCCCCGACGGGGCGTGCACAGCGACCAGGAACGTCTCGGCGCACCACGGGTTCGGCGCGGGGCCCGCCGCCTCGGTGGAGGCCTCGGGGAGCGCCAGAAGGACTCAGTGCGGCCGTCGGCTTCGGCGCCCCACCTCGCCGTCGAGCGCGGGGAGCGGTGGCGTCGCTGGCAGAGCGCGGGAGTCCACGGGCGGCACTGGCATCGAGAGCAGCTTGGAGTGCAAGCAGGCGAGGGCCGAGGAGGGCCCGACGGAGCACGACGCGGAGAAGCTCATGGAGCTTCGCGTGCAGGAGGAGCAGAGCTGCGAGACGGAGATCGTCGGGTCTGACGGCCACGGGCAGGAGTCAGTCACACCTCCAGGAGAAGGGGCGGGGTCCTCGCCGAGGTCCGCCTGCAGGAGGCGCTGGAGGAGAGGGCTGATGGTGCGCAGAGGTCGGCGGCCCAGGGGGCCGACGACCCGGCGAAGCAACCCGATGGCCATGGACAGCGGCCGCATCTCCAGGCGAAGGGCGAGGGCCTCGTCGAGGTCCGCGCGCAGGAGGAGCTGGAGGAGGACGAGCCCTGGTAAGGCGCGAGGCCGCCAGGATGATCGAGGAGTGCTTGGCCCAGATGCGGCTGGAGGACGGCTGCGGGACCTCTCTTCTCTCTCTTCCTCCTTCCAGGAGCGTCCGATCCTCCTCCTCCTAATCCTCCTCCCTCCTCCTCCTGCTGCTCCTCCTCCTCCTCCTCCTCCTCTTGCTCCTCCTCCTCCTCCTCCTCCTCCCCTCCTTCTCATCCTCCTCCTCCTCCTCCTCCTCCTTCTCCTCCCCTCCTCCCTCTCCTGGTCCTCCTCCTCCTCCTCCTCCCCGATGCTCTGCCTTGAGGTCTTCCAGCTCGTGCCGTTCTTCGGACGAGTGAGCAGCACGCGTACCTCTACTGCCAGCAGCGGTGGGAGGGCGGACACTCGCTGCGTGGCGCGCACTGTGATCCCGCGAGACGGGGGCTGCATGCCACGGGCAATGCTCGTGGAACACATTGTGCAGCAACGCAAGCTTCAAACTGCATGCAAGTGGCACCGGCGTGTCAACTATTATGCATGTGTAGCTCTTTCTCTTTCTCTCTCTCTCTATATGTGCATTCTTGGAGGGTGTGCATATATATATATATATATATTCCCCAAGCGGTGCTTGCACTTAGGGGTTCTGGCTTCTGGTCCGAAGAACTGGGCCTGGGCCTGTGTGTCGGTCTGGCGGCTCCGTGCTGGCCGTCGCCGCCCCGTCGCCACCTCGTCGCAATCCGTTGCCTGGGCTTGTGTGTCGGTCTGGCGGCTCTGTGCCTACCGTCGCCCCCCCGTCGCCGCCTCGTCGCCGCCCGTCGTCTGGGCCTGGATGGCGAACTGGCTGCTCCTTGCTCGCCGTCGTCGCCCCGGCGCCGTTTTGTCGCCGCCCATGTCGTGCACCGCATACATGCGCAACATAGATCCTCCTTTTTTTAAAAGGTTCTACCACCCCCCCAGACTGATCGACGCACCGGGAACCTATGCAAAACACATATGATTCTGACCCAGTGTCCATCCGACCTGTTAATTCACATTATTCCAGCCAAACTGGTATCGGCCCCCCCTCGATTCCCTTGCAAAGAATACTATGCGCGCGCACTCGTTTATCAAAAATCATTTTTTCAAGAATCCCATGCAAAAAACAGGACGACATGCACACGCGCGCGTCGTCGCGCGCGCATGCCAGAATCCTTCAAAACCCTCGATTTCGGAAGGATGTCAAAATCGAGTGTCCACAACACATTAAAAACATTGTTTCGCAACACGGATTTTCAACAAAAGTGTACGCGCGCGCTCTTGCGAATTCTTTAGAATACCATGCGTTTTTTATTTCCCCCCTTTTTTTCTTTCCCCCCCCCAACGTTTTCATAAAGTGCTACCAAGCGAGTTTCGCGTGCGCGCATGTCGAAATCGTTCGAACGCCCTTGCGCGCGTGCTGGGGTGGCACGATCCGTGTCAATCAATACCATGCGAGGTACTCTCGCGCGTCTGCCGCGCGCGCATTTTGAATTCCTTCGAAAACCTTCATCACCGACGCGAAGACGCCGTCATCGTCGTCGGCGTGATCAGCATCGGCGCCGTCACTGGCTGCCCCGTCGTCGCTGTCAGCCTCGTCATCAGCATCGCCACTACCATCATCGTGTCTACCGTTGTCGACGTTGCCATGATACCGCGCCCGCCCAATTCGCCGACTCGCACTGAAGTGTCCGCTGGGACGTGCCGAGCGGTCAGCGCCACCGCGTTCGCGTCGGTCGCGCCAAACTACCTGGCCGCTGCGCGCGCGAGCATGCGCGGGCTACCGCGGCCGCAGAGATGCACCAGCCAACACCCAGTACTCATCGCAATCGCTACCGCATGGGTTTTGCATACCAAGTTGTGGGTGGGTGAGTGGGGTGATTGCGCGAGCAGCGGAGTTGACATCTTCAAGTGCGGCAAGTGAATTGCACCGCGTAGATTGCACCACGTGGATTGCATCATGTATATTATACCATACCGCAGAGATTGCACCACACGGTGCCACATGGATTGCGCAAGTTACATGACACCACATATGTTGCACTTATCATATGGATAGGAATAGGAGTTTTGGCACACGCTGGCGAACTTTAGCTATAAGCAGCATGCAGGTATTTATCTCGGTATATTTGCATATACACATGTACATGGTTGTGCGTCTAGTTGTTTGTATATATAGGTATACATGTTTACACATATATATATGTATACACGTATCCTTCATATACACCAGGTTTCGTATACATGCACGTATAAAGTAACACTACATGCGTATCGAACTATAACATGCGAGAACAGAGACATATGTATATAATGATATATATGTATATATATATATATAGAGAGAGAGAGAGAGAGAGAAAGAGAGAGAGAGAGAGAGAACGAGAGAGAGAGAGAGAGAGAGACATAGACACATATAACTATACATACATATACATATATAGCGAGACATATGTGTATGTACATAAACATATACATACATATCGGTACAGACACATGTACAAGGAAAGAGAGGCAACACGAAGCAGAGAGAGAGAGAGGAGTAGAGAGTCAGAGCGATATGCATATAAGATGAATAGTGGCAACAAGATGAAGAGGAAGAGAGAGAAAAAAAACGAGAGAGACGGGGAGGGAATGAGGCAGGAAGGGATCGGACGGACATGGCCGATGGGTGCTAGGGTAAGGTTTGTGTGTGTTGCTTGGGAGGAGGCACGGGGGAAACAATGCCGGATACGAATGAGGACAGCGGGGTTCAGTGGCCCTCCTGCTGTAGCCGCAGTCGAATATCAGAAAGCCCAGAAAGCAGAGTGACGACAAGGACGATATTGATGACAAGGGTAAGGAAAAGGGGGCAAGGCTGAGGAGGAGGAGGAGGACGAGGAGGAACAGGGAAGAGTTGGAGGTAGGGAGGCGGGAAACAGTAAGTGAGGGGGGGAAACAAGGAGGTGGAAGATAATGAACAGGATGATGAGGTGGCAGGAGGTGGTGAAGGCGGATACGGAGGAGGAGGTGGAGGAGGAGGAGGAGGAGGAGGAAGGAACAGGAGGAGGCGGAGGAGGGGTCAAATCAGGTGGAAGAGGGAGGATGGAGGAGGAAAGACGGAGAAGAATAGTGGAGGAGGAGGGGGAGAAGGAGGGACGGGGGAAGGGGAAGGAGGAGAAGGAGGAGGCGGAGGAGGAGGAAGATGAGGAGGGGGGATGAGGAGGGAGGGTGAAGGAAGAGGAGTCAGAGGAGGAGGAGGAGGAGGAGGAGGAGGAGGAGGAGGGGGGAGGAGGAGAGAGGGGAGGAGGAGGAGGAGGAGGAGGAGGAGGAGGACTTTTTGCAAGGACCGGTCGCGCGCGCGCGCCAGAGTGCACCCACAGGCGGGGCAACGAGCGCGCACGCGCGCTGTGCGCCTGTGCCTCGCATCAGCACGTGTACAGCCTTCGTGGGGTCGGGGCAGCAGCCCTGCTGCGAAGACCCAGACCTCCAGCATAGAATCGAGTTGGATTAGTAGGTCGACCCTGGCAGATCAAGGGTACCCTTCTGCATTCCTGTTGCAGTGTGGCCCTCGGAAGGGTCTTGTGTCCTCTCGCGTGTCCTCGCCAATCAAGCTCGACTGTATTGTCAAGACGCTGAATGAAGGACCACTTCAGGCTCAGGAAGGGCGCTGGCTTTCAGGTCCTCCCGCAGGTCCACGTCGGGGAAAGTGTTCGTGGCCGAGACTCGCAGTGGCCAGGCAAGCCCTTCGTCCCTTATCCGGCGCTGTGCATGCGCGTGGCGCCATGCCGTCTGGTGAGTCAGTGGGCATTCGGGGTGATCGCAGGGTTTTGGGGTTTGGGTCCTCCTCCTTGTCCTACTCCTCCTTGTCCTACTCCTCCTCGTCCTCCTCCCACTCCTCCTCCTCCTCCTCCTCCTCCTTCTTCTCCTCCTCCTCCTCCTCCTCCTCCTCCTCCTCCTCCTCCTCCTCCTCCTCCTCCTCCTCACTCCTCCCAGGACGCCTCGAGCGATTGGGGCCTCCGAGGCCCCAGAGCCACGGGGTGACGAGCCGTGCTGTCCAGGCTCCTTCGGGTTTCGAGGTCACCGCGCGGCCTGTCACCGCACCGCCTGGGGACCTCCGGGGGCGGCTCCCCTTTCTCCGCGGGCGGGGCCCGACTCGACCGAGCACGGGGGATGGGGGGAGGCGGCGCCGACGCGGGGAGGCTGTCCCGGCTGTCTTGGGGCTTCCCTGGAGGCCCTCATCGCCAGGCCAGGCGCGCCTCGAGGAATTGGCCAGGACTGAGCCTGCTGTTTTACAGTGGGCGTAGCGCGCGTTAGGCAGGTTGGTCGGTCGGTAGGTCGGTCGGTCGGTCGGTCGGTCGGTCGGTAGGTAGGTAGGTAGGTCTGCATGTATATATATATATATATATATATATATATATATATGCATGCATGCATGCATGCATGCATGCATACACATACATGCATAGACTTATGTATGTAGACGTGTATGCATGAGCGTAAGTACGGAAGTATGTCGTTACACATATACGTATTTGGTTTGTGTGTTTAGTTGTGTGTTTATTTGTTTGTGTATCCGCTTGTTTGTACGTATGTAGGCGTGTATGTACGCATGCATGCATGCATGTATGTATGCATGCATGTATGTATGTGCTTATGCATGTATATACATGGAACTGTGTACGTATGTATATATATGCATGTATGTATGTATGCATGTATGTATGCATGTATGTATGTATGTATGCATGTATGTATGCATGCATGTATGTATATATATATATGTGTATGTGTGTATGTATGTATGTGTGTATGTCTGTATGCATGTATGTATGTATGTATGTATGTATGTCTGTATGTATGTATGTATGTATGTATGCATGTATGCATGTATGCATGTATGCATGTATGCATGCATGCATGCATGTATGCATGCATGGATGGATGGATGGATGGATGGATGTATGTATGTATGTAGGTAGGTATGTATGTATGTATGTATGTATATATGTATGTATGTAGGTGTGCATGTATGTGTGGAATTATGTATGTACGTACGTACGTAACATGTACGTGTGTATGCATGCATCTATGTATGTGTGTATATCCCCTCTCCCCGCCCCGCCCCTTCTGACGCTACCCCTCCCTCATGTGGCGGGTCCAGCCCCCACCCCTTACACTCACGCTCGCATGCACGTGGTGGCGTTCGCCGGCTGTCGCGGTGGCTACGCTCACCTTGCATACTGTGGTGCCCGCGCGCTGCTGTGGTGCTCACAGGCACAGTGATACTGTGGCGCTTACAGGCCTACCGCGGTGCTCGCAGGCATATTGCGGTACTTGCAGGCTCATTGCCCGCGCACGCAGGAATATTGTGGCGATCGCAGGGGATCGTGGCATTGGCAGTGTCCAGTTTTTTGTCGCTCATACATATGGTGGTCGCAGGCAGTTGTGATGTTGGCACGGTCTGGCTTCCGTCGTCGTCTGTTGGTCGCAAGCATGCACGTGCTCACAGGCGGTGATACGGTCGGACCGAGGTGTAAGATCGAGGGGAGGGTGCCCTGATGTTCTTCGCGTTTGCGGGATGCTCTTGTGCATCCTGGGGAGGTATCTTCGAATGCTCCGTGTGTTTTGACCGGCGGAGGGTCTGATGTTCTTGAGGGTTGTTTTCTTCTGTCTTATCAGGCTTGGCCGTAGTGGCCAGCGGCTTGATCGATCCGCGGTCGAGGGCAGTCGTGGCCGTGGGCGGGAAAGATGTCCACGTCCTCGGCCTGGCGTTCTGGATCCCCCGGCCGCGACCCACTGGCTGCAGGGCGGCTCTGCGCGGATGACCCGAGCGGAACGCATCCACGGGATATCCATGGGATCGCTTCTCGGTGTCTAGACGGCCAGTTCGGATGAACTTCAGCATCGGCGCTGGTATATCCGTGGTCGAAATCTGGCCTGATCTGGCTCAGTCCCGTTCAGTCCCACTCAGCCCCACGATCCCGCTTCGTGCGGCTGAATATCAGGCTTCGTCTGGCCCGATCTGGCTTAGGCCTTGTAGCCCATCATCGTTCTGACGAAGACCTCCTGGGACCAGGAACTGACAACCAGCACCCGTACCTATCCGACCCTTACATTTCTCGAGGTGGAATTCTGTGGGGGGCTATGGGTGTGTATTGTCGGATGGGGTCTCCCGCTCCACGGGGAGCCCCCCCTGGGGTCCGATAGCCCGCGCTCGTATTGAAAGGGCCTTAATCTCCTTGCCCTTCGCCCTTCCTCCTTCCTGTACGTTGTTCTTCCATCACAGGAGTTGCCTCCGAACGCCGGCGCGTAGATTTGCTTCAGTATCATTGAGCCGACTTCTGTCCCCATCCCCATTACCACACAGACCCCCACCATCTCAGCATCCCAGCTGGGGATGTACCCTTCGAAACCCGAAGGGAATGGCCTATTACCTCCATCTGGGAGGGTAAATCGGCCAGCCGGGCCCAGGAGGATAAATCGGCCAGTCGGGCCCAGGCCATCCTGGTGGGTCGCTCAGTGCCCGTCGCTCAGTGCTCGTGCTCGTCGCTGCCAGGTGGTGAAGCTGCTCGTGCTCGTGCTCGTGCTCGGCCAACCGATACTTGGTGCTCGTGCTCAGTGCTCTTGCTCGTGCTCGTCGCTCGGTGCTCGTGCTTGTCGCTCCGTGCTCGCGCTGGGCGGGTGCAGCGATGCTCAGTGCTCGCAGCCCGACGCTGTGGACCGCCGTGGGGCAGGAGCGCTCTCCGGCGGCCCGCTCCGCACCCACGGGCAGCTCCTCGGGGCCTTCGCGGGCTCGCCGGCTGGCCCGCGGCTCAGCTGGCCCCCGCCCGCCGAGCCGGGCTCCGGCTCCTGCGCCTCCTCTCCGCTCAAGCAGTGGCGGAGCGTCCTGGCGTGCCTGTAAGCCTACCAGACAGTGTTCTAAGGACTTATGGTGGTTTCCACGAAGTGTTCTCAAACCGTTTCTGGCTGGGACGGTCTTGTTTTCACGCGTCGGGTTTATGTTCTAAGAACCTCGTTTTTGTTCTTTGAACAGTTGGGTTCTACGACAATGTCGTGGTAGGCCTATAGGAATGCCGGGACGGTCGGTCCCTGCTCAATCCACGAAGGGGAAGACCGGGAGACGCTTTTTTTGGTCCTTCCCCGGCGGGGTAGCTCGACGGGACGTAAGAGTGACCTCTCGCCTGAGTGACCTTTGGTGCGGGCACAGACGGGTCCCCAGACGGCTGACTGTGAAGCGGCAGTAGCGGCCTGCGTGCCCAGTTTGGGCCACCCTGCGCCTCCCGTTAGGCTGCGCACCGAAGGTCACTCTTACCCAGGGTCACTCTTGCGTGTCGCCGACATATAGAGGGCGTTACCGGAGGGGGGGGGGGCGGTAACCTCACGTTTCGCGCCGGCGCCGTCAGGGGAATGTTTAGGACTAGCCAGCGACAACTCGGAGGTCAGCACGAATCGTGACGTTGCCTTGGGGGGGGCGGGGGCGGGCGGGCGGCCGGGGCTGCTAAAGTGAACGGCCGCTGCCGCGAGCAAGAGAGCAAGCGTTCTCCAATCGAGGCAACGGCGGTCGGACTCCGGGAGGGCCCCCCGGTCGCCACGGCCGGGCGCAGCTCGGGGGGCGGGCGCGCTGTTGGACCCCGGGGAGGGGCCCGGGGATCGCTCTTGCGCTGCCGTTCTGGTCTCGACTCGCCCTGCTCGGCGGGATCTTGCGCTTCGGCGGGCGCGGATCGAGGACCGAGGCATCGAGGACCGAGGGATCGAGGGTCCAGGACCCGAGGCTCCAGGACCCGCGGCTCGAGGGCCCAGGATGCCGAGGAGCCAGGATCGAGGGCCCAGGATGCCGAGGATCGAGGGTCCAGGCCCGGGGGTCGGCCTGCTCCGATCTTGCTCCTTGGCGGGGGCGGACCGGGACCTCGCCCTTTCTTCTCCTCTCGGGCATGCTCGTGCCGCCGCGCCCTCCCCCCTCGTCGGGCCGGTGCACTCCTCCTCTTCCGTCTCCTCCTTCCTCGCCCCCTCCCTCCTCCTCCTCCTCCTCCTCCTCCTCCTCCTCCTCCTCCTCCTCCGCCACCCTTCTGACCTCTCCTCCCTCTTCCTCCTCGTCCCGCTGTAGTTCATCGTTTCTCCTCCTCCTCCTCTTTCTCCTCCTCCATTCCCTTTTCTTCTCAATAACTTCTCCCCGTCGCACCCCGAGCCCAGTTTTATTGGCGGACCGGGCGTTTCGCCTGAGATTTCCCCACCATGTATGACTCTGAAGCTTAAGTTGGCAACAGTTTCACAGATGGAGGGCGGGTGGTTAAAAAAATGTGGCTCTCGCCTTAGCGCGGCGCACATTCGCTCTAAACATTTGCAAGAGTTTCAGGGATTGAGAGCGGGTGGTTTTCAAAATGTGGTTCTCGCCTGAGCGCGGTGCACATTCTTTTAAACAAAGTGCAAGAGTTTCACTGATTGAGAGCGGGTGGTTTTCAAAATATGGCTCTCGCCTGAGCGCGGCGCACAGTTGCTTTAAACATTTGCAAAGGTTTCACGGATTGAGGGCGGGTGGTTTTCAAAATGTGGCTCTCGCCTGAGCGCGGCGCACATTCGCTTTAAACATGTGCAAGAGTTTCAGGGATTGAGAGCGGGTTGTTTTCAAAATGTGGCTCTCGCTTCAGCGCGGCGCACATTCGTTTCCTTTTTCCTAACATGTGCAAGAATTTCACGGACTGAGGGTGGTTTCTTTTCAAAATGTGGCTCTCGCTTCAGCGCGGCGCACATCCGTTTCCAAACATTCGCAAGAGTTTCACGGTCCATCATCAACGTGGCAGGAAGGGTGTTTTGAACGGATTCAGGGTTTATGCTGGTGCAGCAATTCTGTTGATTCGCTGTGTTGAAGTCCCAGGAATTGCGTTCTGGCGCGATTCAGGGTTGCCAAGACGCAACAGTCAGGTTGATCCGCGGCGTTGAAATCCCGAGAACAATGTTTTGGCATGCTTCAGGGTCTTCAAACGGTTGTCTTCCAAAGAGGCCGTTCCTTCAATGGAAGTGAACCGCTGTAGGGGCCTATGAAGAGGGAGCTTGGCGGGAGGGTTTATTCCAACATCGTTGACGACTCTTGGGTTTACACTGGTCTTCCTCGTCCTCCTCCTCGTCCTCCTCCTCGTCCACCTCCTCCTCCTCCTCCTCCGCCCTTCTGATCTTCCCTCCCTCTTCCTCCTCGTCCCGCTATGGATCATCGTTTCTCTCCGGTTCTTCCGCCAGGCTCCATCCTCGTCGCGCGCGCACACATGCGGGCCGCGCGCACGCGCGCGTGCGCACGCGGGCGCACGCGCCCGCTGCCGCACATTCTTCGGGCGTCGCGGCCATGCGCGCGGCAGCGCGGCGGAGTCGGCCAAGCGGCCGGGGACGGAAGCGGAGAGCGCGCGCCAGGCCCAGCCCAGCGGAAGCGCGGCGTGCGGGATTCACCCACGGGGAACCGCGTGGGGGGCAGCGGTCACCCACACACGCACGCACGCACACTCACGCGGCGCTACGATTGAGTCGGGCCTGTCCCTCTCTACAGGAGGAGTATTCCAAAATAGTCAAAAATTCGTCAGGGGACGATTCTTTGACCAGTTTTGAGCATTTTAGGGTACTTTTTGACAATGTGTGATTTTTCGTCCAAAATCGGCCTATAGGGGGACAGGCCCGACTTAACGCTACGACACATGTGGCAGGGCGTGTACGCAGCAGGCCCCGCTTGAGAGCGAGGTGTGGATACGATGCTAGCAGTCCCGCCCCTCTTCATTTACGGTAGGTTCGCGTCGTGTCGACCAGCGGCGACCCCGCCGCCGGCGTTCAACGTTGAACGCCGCCCGCGACCCAGAATGGTCCATGTTGAATGGCCAGACGTTTCGGGAACGGCGGATCGTTCAAGGTTGAACGATCCCCGCTGTGTCAGGAACCAAGGCCCGTGTCGACACGACGCGAACCTGTCGTATTTGGTTCAAGCCCTAAGCGAAGGTTTCATTCCAGCGCCAACTTTATGAGGGACACGTTCCCGCAGCTCCTGCTGCAAGCACGGGTGCGTTCCAGAAGCCAATTTTTCCGAGGGACAAGGTTCTCCAGCAGCCCACGGCGCTCCCAGCACCAACCTTTTAATGAAGAGGGACGACGCTCCAGCAGCCCACGGCGTGCGCGCTCACCTTCATATTTCATATTTTTTCCAGGGATTCAGTCGGGCATGTCCCTCAACAGGATGAAGATTCAAGAATAGTCAAACAATAGTCTGGGGACGATCTTTCTACTATTTTTGAATATGTTTCAACATTTTTGACTATTTGATGTTTCCTCCCAAATCCGACTGTAGGAGGATATGCCCGACCTAATGCAAGGAGCATTCCAGCAGCCCGCGGCGTGCGTTCTATCACTGCGTCCTTACCGAGCGCGAGCGTTCCAGCAGCTCACGGCGTGCGCTTTATCATTGTGTTTGATACCGAGCGCGGGCGTTCGAACGTCGGTCTCAACCAACGCAGGCGAAAACACTTAATCAAGAGTCTCACTACCACCATATTCCTCTACTTGTAGGGTGCGGGAGGGGGTTGTGGTCGTGGTGGTGCTGGCTTGGGCGGTGGCGGTGGCGGCAGCTGTGACAGAGGATCGGGAGGGGGGGGGGCACGCGTCTCTTCGCTCTTGGTCGCTTTGAAGCACAGCGAAGGGCGGGGACTGGACCAATCGCATTTTGGCTGGCCAAGGCTCCAAAAGCCCACCCGCCTCACCTGCTGCAGTGAGCGCTCCCGTGCTCCCCGTGGAACCCCACGTTCACGTTCGTGACCCTCATGTGCCCTTGGAGGGTGATCGCTGCGCCCCGTGACGCGACTTGTAGCGTCAAGCTGCATCGCCGCGGCCGAGGGGATTCGAGGGGAGGAGTTATACATTGGAGGAGATGGGAGGGAGAAAGGGGAAGGGAATGATGCGCATGTATCTGTGTGTGTGTGCGGAGAGAGAGAGAGAGAGAGAGAAAGAGAAAGAGAGAGAGAGAGAGAGAGAAGAAAAGAGAGAATCGAGAGAGACACGGAGAGAACGAGAGAGAGAGAGAGATAGTGGGGAAGGATTAAGTGGGAGACTGGTTAGGGGAAGGAGGCGAATAAGCGATGCGTCACCGCCAATCGATGCGGAGACGCTAGCCGATTGACTGACTTGACTTGTGGTTGTGGAGCCACTGGTCGATGCGTATCCTGCCTGCGCTCGATATCCAGCAAAGCTTCCTGACCTCAGGGTCATCACTTCTCTCCCTCAGCAATAATTTTTGTAGTAGGGCACCTAAGCGCCACTCACTCCCTGCGCTGGGCTGCCTCTAATATTCCGAGGTGCACCGCGTCTCTGGATGCACCACGTCGACGATGCTTGCCCAGCGAATGTTGGCACGCGTGATCGTTTTCACACTTGACCGCCCCCTCTCTTTCAAGCAAGGGCTGCGGTGCGGGTGGCGGCTGGCCTCTCTCTCTCCCCTCCTCCCCATCCCTCCCCTCCCCTCCCCCTCCTCCCCTTCCTGACTTCCTGACTGACTGACTCACTGACAGACTGACTGATTGTCTGACTGACCGAATGACTGATGGATTGATTCACTGAATGACTAAAGGTATCAGACTCCCCAGGGACGCGGCCATCCTCCCCCACCAGGGGCGGTCCCCACTCCCCCTGTGTGTGTGTGTGTGTGTATGTGCGTGTGCTCGCTTCTTTGTGCGCGCGTGTGTGTGTGTGTGTGTGTGGGTGTGTGTGTGTGTGTGTGCGCGTGTGTGTGTGTGTGTGTGTGTGTGTGTGTGTGTGTGCGTGTGTGTGTATATATATATATATATGTATATGTGTGTTTTTTTTTTTTTTGTGTGTGTGTGTGTGTGTCTGTGTGTCTGTGTGTGTGTGTGTGCGTGTGTGTGTGTGTGTGTGTGTGTGTGTGTGTGTGTGTGCGTCCACTCTTCGTGCCTTTCTGCTGGCTCCTGCCGCTCTCGGCACCCGCGCACCTCGGGCACGTGGTCCCCCCTGCCCTTTGGGCTTTAGGGTCGGTCTTGGCCGTCCTCGTCGCTCCACGCTGCTTTACTTCGGGGGTGGACAGACCTCCTACCCTGACACGTCGATTAAGGAATTGGCCGTTTTCGGTTCGCGAGGGGGCGTCGCGGCCGTCATTTTTGCGGGTCCAGGTCCGTCGGTTTCGGTCCCAGGCCGTTTTCACTAAGGGGAGGTTTTCTAAAGGAAGGTTTGTCCACCGCTGATTACTCGTTCTTCCCGCCATCCAGTCCCGGATGGCTTATGGCACCTTCCACCGCACCGTGACCTCGTCCTTCCACCGCTCCCCCCTGTCATCCGTGCCCGGATGACTTGTGGCGGCCGGCTGCTGCGGGACCCCAAGCGGTCTCTGAGAGCTCGGGCGTCCTTAGTCGCGCGCGCGCGTTTGCTGCTGTACGACCTTCTCCGCCCTGTCGCCGCGCGAGACGGCCATTACGCCATAAAGCGCGTGTGTGTGTGTGTGTGTGTCTGTGTGATCCAACTAGTTAGCTGCGGGAAGTAGGGCGAAAGAGACACGCGTGATTGAGGGAGGACCCTCCAGGGGGAGCGGGGTAGCCATGCCCCCTCCTCCGTCCCCCTCCCTCCTCCTCCTCCTCCTCCTCCTCCTCCTTCTCTTCCTCCTCCTTCTTCTCCATTCCCTTTCCCTATGAATAGCCCCTCCCTGTCGCACCCCGAGGCCAGTCGGAAGGGCGGTCCGGGCATTTCGCCTGAGACTTCCTTTACCAGTCATGAGACTGAAGCTTACAAACTGGGAACAGCATCGCAGATGGAGGGCAGGTTTTTTTCGTAATGTGGCTCTGTCCTTAGCGCCGCGCGCATTCGTTTTCAACATTTGCAAGAGTTTCGCGGACTGCGGGCGGGTCGTTTTCTTCATGTGGCTCTCGCCTTAGTGCCGTGCACATTCGTGAAAACACATCGCACGAGTTTCACGGATGGAGGGCGGTTGTTTTCAAAATGTGGCTCTCGCTCTAGCGCCGCGCACATTCGTCGAAACAAAGTGTAAGAGTTTCACGGATTGAGGGCGGGTGGTTTTCAACATGTGGCTCTCGTCCTAGCGCCGCGCACATTCGCTTCAAATATTTGCAAGAGCTTCATGGATTGAGGGCGGTTCTTTTTTAAAAGATGTGGCTCTCGTCTTAGCGCCGATCACATTCTTTTAAGCATAATTGCAAGAGTTCATTCGTCCTCATGGTTGACATACCACAAATGGTGTTTTGGATTGGTTCAGGATTGTCAGGGCGCAACAATTACGCTGATTCGCGGTGTTGATGTCCCAGGAAAGGGTGTCCTGGTACGATTCAAGATCGCCAAGACGCGACAGTCAGGTTAACTCGTGGCGTTGAAGTCCTGAGAGTGGTGTTTTGGCACGCTTCACGATTTTCATACTTTTGTCCCCCAACGGGGCCATTCCTTCAGTGGAAATCAACCTCTGTATGGGGTCTACGAAGAGGGAGCTTGGAGGGAGGTTGTGTTTCAGCATCGTTGATGAGTCTTGGGTTTGCACTGGTCCTCCTCCTTCTCCTCCTCCTCCTCCTCCTCCTCCTCCTCCTAAGGTTCGTGTCGTGTCGACGCGGCGGCGACCCCGTCGCCGATGGTCAAGGTTAGAGCGCCGCCAGTGGCCCAGAATCGGCCAACACGGCACGATCTGGCGATCTAAGAGCTGCAGGCCGTCCGCGGCCGAACGGTCCACGCCGTGTCGCAGACCAGCGCAGGCGCCGTCGCGGCACGAACCTGCCGCACTCCTCGCCCACACCGCTCGCTGGAGCGCCCCGCTGCGACAGCGCTCGTCGAGCGCGAGCCGATGCCCGCTGCCGGCGCGCCCTGCTGGCCGCGCTGGCGCCGCGCTGGCGCCGCGCTGGCGCCGCGCCCTCCACCAGCCCGGCCTCGGCGAGCGCCCCGGGGCTCGCTCGGCGCGGCGGCGTGGGGGCCGCGAGCCAGAAAGTCCCTCTCCAGACCCCTCACGTCGAAGAGCAGGCAGAGGAGGCGGAGGAGGAGGCGGAGGCGGAGGCGGAGGAGGAGGAGGAGGAGGAGGAGGAGGAGGAGGAGGAGGAGGAGGGAGGAGGAGCAGGGGAGGAGGAGGAGGAGGGAGGAGGAGGAGGAGGAGGCGGAGGAGGAGGAGGAGGGCGGAGGAGTTTAGGCGGAGAGGAGGCGGAGGAGGAGGAGAGGAGGAGGAGGAGGAGGAGGAGGAGGAGGAGGAGGAGGAGGAGGAGGAGGAGGAGGAGGAGGAGGAGGAGTCCCTCGCGGCACAAGCTTTTCGGATGCTTTCCGCCTTGGGGGCCTGGCGGGCTCGGGGCCATCAAGGGGTGGCTCGGGATTAGGAGCCGGCCCCTGGGGACGGGTCGAGACTTCTGGGGGTGACGTCATGAAGAAATGATGATGCGATTACACATGGTTCATGTCTATTTATTCGAAAGTTCTTTGATTTTGTTGGGGGCAAAGATCCTTT